GAGATAAGGCGCTATATCAAATCTAAGCAATATTAATTAACTCAACGACATTTCCAAAAGGTATGCTTCATGCTTATGCAGCTCTATAGACTCCAAATCAGAAGGTAAGGGTTCAAGCCCTATGACAGAGCGTTTGATTCACATAGTCTAGGCTGACCCCCATTCAACCCCCACCCGAGCACTGCTGCAGATGCCCTTTCAGCGCCTTGGGATGTCCTCCCGACGTGAAAGGCGCTCTATAAATGTAATTTTGTTGTTGTTGAGTCCTTCAGAATGAGACATCACACCGAGGTACTGTCTGCTCAGGTGGACGTTAATGATCAAATGGCACTATTACGATAATAATCCTTGCATTTGATCGCATCATTCCCACGACAAAATTATTATTTTGTTTGATGGGATTATTATTCAAAAAAGAAAAGGGAATCCCTCTGTCACCCGGTCAACTAGTCATTCACTTCATGGCTGTCTACAGAACACTGATGTGCACAAACTGACTGCTCTTCACATATAAAATAAAACATTTGCCACACTTTATAGTAAATCCTGTGAAGCGCTTTGAGGCATCCCTCCAGTGTGAAAGGTGCAATATCAAATGAAAAGATTTATCAATTATTATTTATAATATTCTTACTATTCTGTGGTGGTCAAAACATAGGTTTACAACAACATTACATTTGTAAAGCGCCTTTCAAGTCGGGAGGACGTCCCATGGCACTGAAATTTTGGGATCAGGACCCAAGCGTGGGGGGAGGAAGGGGCGGGATTGCCTTCCCCCACCTCCACAACATTGCCCGACTCCCCCATTGCCTCACCCCTCAGGCAAACCCTCACACACGCATTCATCACCTCAAGGCTGGACTACAGAAACCCCTCCTTGTCAAGTCTCCCCAACTCTGCCCTCCACAAGTTGCAGATCATCCAGAACTCTACAGCCATCGTGTCCTCTCCCGCCCCAGGCTCCGTGACCCCATCTCACCCCCACCCTCGCCCGGCTCCACTGCCTCCCCATCCCTCAGAGGATAGAGTTCAAAATCCTCGTCCTCACTTTCAAGGCGCTCCACGGCCTTGCCCCCTCCTACCTCTCTGACCTGTTGACTCCCTATCAACCTGTCCGCTCCCTCCATTCAGCGGGCTCCGGCCTGCTCCATGTCTCCCAGCCGACCCGCCCTACCATTGGCGGCCGGGCTTTCAGCCTCTCTGTCCCCCCTCGCTACTCCCGTGCCTCCTTCAAGGCAAGACTGAAGACCCCCCTCTTCGACCGTGCCTTCAGCCGCCCTCCTGCCTCTCTGCACTCCATCGTCCCACTAAACCTTGATGGTCAAGTGGATCACACACTTCTCTCCCCCTTCCCACCAGCCCCACTATAGGAGAAAGTGAAGAAGAAAGTTTCAAATAAAAGTCCCGAAAACACCAAGCGTCATTTTCATTGCGGCATCAAGCATAAAACAGTCACTACATTTGCCAGTTGTTACTGTAAGAGGCCCTGCGTCGTATTCCGCCAATTTAAGTGCTCCGAGACTCCACCCTGCATGACAGGTGCTGTATAAATGCACGTTGTTGTTGTTCTTGCATCTTGATAAAGTGCACTAAAATGCAGTTCTTGCTACAAGTGACATGAGTGATGTGTTTATACAAATGGGGAAGGAGAAAGAATTCCTAACTCTACTTTCATAGAAGTAAAGGTCTGTCTTCCAAAAATACTGTCCTGTCTGTTACTATTTGTTGCGAACATAAACGTACTGCCTTCCTGAACCTACAGTAAACGCCTGATAACTCAACCTTGGCTTAACTCATAATAATAAATAATAATCCTTGCATTTGATATAGCACTTTTCACGTCTTCTCGAGGTCTCAAAGCGCTTCACAGAATACACTGTAAAGTGAACTGACTGTATATTTGCATTATATATTTGCGTTCGCCCACAAATATACAGTCAATTCACTTTACAGTGTGTTCTGTGAAGCGCTTTGGGACGTCCTCCCGACGTGAAAAGCGCTATATCAAATGCAAGGATTATTATTATTATTTGTGGGCGAAACTTATCACAACCACTCAAGTCAAAAATATAATGCAAATATAGTCAGTATCCCAGCCATGTTTATTTATGCATTTTCCTGGGACTGACGAGTTATCAAAAGTTTACTGTATCTAAATATAGAAAGTAATCGGAAGAATCGCTGAATGATGTGATTCGCAATCCAGATTTTGTTTCCTTCAAATATGCAGAAGGCTCCCAGTTTCACCGCAATGAATTCCAGAAACGATTAACTGGATTTCAACCAAAGGGAAACCTTGACCTGCACTGGGATTTCTGACTTCTTCTCTTCCCACTCCCCATCTTCACAGCGCTAAAATGCTTCACTACTTCATTATTTACGCACAACCTGATGTGCCAAATGCATGATCTTAAGATAAAAAAAACAGGCAAGTTTACACCAAGGCTATTTGTTTGGAAGGTTTGAACCACATTCTCCTAAAACAGTCACGATGTGCCTTTATGATGACACCAAGTGCACTAATAAAATCAGATTACAATATCCGCCCACCACCATGTGTGTTGGTGGAGACTAAGACCGTTTTTTTTAATGGGATTTCCACAATACTCTTTTGCCCAGTTCCTGCTTGCCTCCTGGAGAGACAGATTGTCTGAACGCTCATTTCTCTTTCGTACTTTCTTTTAAAAAAAAGCAATCACGCAAAAAAAAATTCTGCGCTGCTTTTTTTTAAAAAAAAATGAATGCCAGCGGTTGATAAGGGGAAGGAAAACCTTTCACTTGGGTGAGAAAATGAGACAGCTTTTTTTTTCAAACCACGACTGTTTGTGATTTGTGCCAAGTTTCACCTACAAAATACACAGTCAATTATAATATAATCTGTGAAGCGCTTTGAGATGTCTCAACCTAATAAGGCGTTATATCAAATGCATGGATTATTATTACTATTATTATGAATACTTATAAAATCCCCATTTGTTTCCCCGAAAATCTGCTCCGACTCCCCTTCCTACTACCTCCTTCTCCCAAGAGAAGGAGAATGGGAACAAAATAAAAAATTAAAATGAGTAACCGCTACGTGTCAATTTGTTCCTCTCTGGGACAGTTCTTGCGATCAATCCACCGCGGTTGATCGCACATTAAAAACCCCGCACCCGCCATCCATCGCCACTTTTGCTCTATAAGCTGCGCCTGGAAAAACAAGAGACACAGACTTTCCAACTGCTCCCCCCCCACTTCTTCTCACTCCAAACGCTTCAAAAGAAACGCGCAACACTTTTTTGCTCGACCGTTATTGTTGGCCATCATAAAACAGGACTGGGGAGTCAAAGCAAACAAGGAGCAGGAAGGCAGCTATTGTATAAATCCCTGCAATTGCCTCCCGGGTTCGCACACAAAATACAGTCAATCCACTTTACAGTACATCCTGTGAAGTGCTTTGAGACTACTAAACAATGCGATATGGCGTGAATGTAAGGATTATCGCGATTAATACTATTGTTATTGATGCTGAACAGTGAAAGGGATGAGAGCCCTGAAATCGCACCCTGAGAGAAAGGGGGGGGTTACAAATTGACACATAGCAGTTACCCGTTTTAATTTCTCTCCCAAGAAAAGAGAAGAGGTGGTGGGTGGGGGGGGGAGGAGGAGTAAGAGATCTGCGGCGACAGGAAAGGGAATTGTTTATACATATATTCAGATAAAGCTATTTCTCACTGCTTCGCCCGAGAGTAAAGCTTTCCTGTCCGCCAACCGCCGGAGTCGGGCGACCGCATACCTTCGCCCGACATAACCGACCACCACCAGCAACCGCGAGCCTCGCGCTTGACAGCGCGCCCGACCGCGCCGTCGAGACGTCTCGAGGCGCCCGGCGGAAGACCCACGGGGGGTGGATCGGCGGGTGGGCGTGTTTGGGGTGGGCAGAGAGAGAGAGAGAGAGAGAAGGGCAAGGGGTGGGGTGGGGGGTGGGGTGGGGGGGCTTTTGAGAGATGGGGTCTGGGGGTGGGGTGGTGGGGGGGGGGGAGGCTTTTGAGAGATGGGGTCTGGGGGTGGGGTGGTGGGGGGTGGGGGGGGCTTTTGAGAGATGGGGTCTGGGGTGGGGTGGTGGGGGGGGGGAGGCTTTTGAGAGATGGGGTCTGGGGGTGGGGGGGTGGGGGGGGGGAGGCTTTTGAGAGATGGGGTCTGGGGGTGGGGTGGTGGGGGGGGGGAGGCTTTTGAGAGATGGGGTCTGGGGGTGGGGTGGTGGGGGGAGGCTTTTGAGAGATGGGGTCTGGGGTGGGGTGGGGGGGGGAGGCTTTTGAGAGATGGGGTCTGGGGGTGGGGTGGTGGTGGGGGGGGCTTTTGAGAGATGGGGTCTGGGGGTGGGGTGGGGGGAGGCTTTTGAGAGATGGGGTCTGGGGGTGGGGTGGTGGTGGGGGGGGCTTTTGAGAGATGGGGTCTGGGGGTGGGGGGGTGGGGGGGGAGGCTTTTGAGAGATGGGGTCTGGGGGTGGGGGTGGTGGTGGGGGGGAGGCTTTTGAGAGATGGGGTCTGGGGGTGGGGTGGGGGGAGGCTTTTGAGAGATGGGGTCTGGGGGGGGGTGGTGGGGGGGGGGAGGCTTTTGAGAGATGGGGTCTGGGGGTGGGGTGGTGGGGGGGGGGAGGCTTTTGAGAGATGGGGTCTGGGGGTGGGGGGGGGGAGGCTTTTGAGAGATGGGGTCTGGGGGGGGGTGGTGGGGGGGGGGGAGGCTTTTGAGAGATGGGGTCTGGGGGGGTGGTGGGGGGGGGGAGGCTTTTGAGAGATGGGGGTGGGGGTGGTGGGGGTGGGGGGGAGGCTTTTGAGAGATGGGGTCTGGGGGTGGGGGGGTGGGGGGGGGGGAGGCTTTTGAGAGATGGGGTCTGGGGGTGGGGGGGTGGTGGGGGGGAGGCTTTTGAGAGATGGGGTCTGGGGGTGGGGGGGGTGGGGGGGAGGGAGAGGGCCATCAATAAATAGATAAATAAATAAACATCACCGCTTTTTACTCACTTCATCTTCTGAAAGTCCGTAGATGGGCTCGTTGTGGGTCGCCATAGGGGAGAGAGGAGAGAGAGAGAGAGAGAGAGAAGGGGAGAGAGGGAGAGAGGGAAGGAAGGAAGGAAGGAAGGAGGGAGAGAGAGAGAGAGGAGGAGGGGGAGAAAGGGGGGAAAAGTGCTCGAACAATAAAACACCTTCTTCCTTCAGGAATATCCCCCTTTTCCTTCCCCCACTCACCCCAGAGGGAGGGAGGGAGGGAGGAGGGGAAAGAGAGGGGGAGAGAGAGAGAAGAGAGAGAAAAAAAAACCCCACAATTGTCTTCTTCGCAGAGAGAGAGAGAGAAGAGAGAAAGAGAAAGAAAAACCCACTGTGTTTTTTTTGGATTGATAGGGACCGATTATATATGTGTGTGTGTGTGTGTGTGTGCGCTTTGAGGACAAATAATGAGGGAGAAAAAGAAGAGGGAGGGAAGGAGGGAGAGAGGGAGAGAGAGAAAGAGAGACAGATAGAGAGAGAGAGAGAGAGATCTTTGTGCACAGAGTCCACTCTCCTCTTCAGCTGAGGGAACCCCCTGCACATGCGCACTCGCGTCCCCCCTCCCCACCCGCACCCCTCAACCTACCCCGCGGCCCCTCCCCCTCCCCGCCGCCGCCGCCGCCAGATTGACAGACAGCCGGCGGCGCCCAATCAGCGGCGCCCTTTCAGCCGGACAATGATAAGGGGGCGGGCGGCTCGGACCAATCGGCTGCGCGGAAGGTGGCGACGCGAAGGGCGATAGGTCGGTCGGAGGGCGGGATCGGCCAGCGACCAGCACTCTAGGTTGCGCGCCCCCCCCTCGCCCCGCCCCCCGGCCCCTCCCCCTTCCCCTCCACCCACTCCTCCTCCTGTGAGGTGGTTCCATGTTCGATTCCCCCCTCAATCCTGACCTCCTGATCATTGGGAATGCCAACCATTCCAGGCTATAAACGAGCTCATTCTTCCCCCCCCCCCCCCCCAAAAAAGGGACTTGTCTCACCACCCCCCCCTATTATTTATTTATTTATTATACATTTATTTATTTTTAAAAAAAATAAAAAAATTAAAAATAATTTAAAAAAAAGGAAAATAACATAAAAGAAAGCGCAAATTTTTTTTCGGATTTTTTCCAAGCTTTGCGTTTTTATTTTCTGAGGTTTTCTTTTCTCTTTTTTCTTTTTTCTATTTCGGACCTCGGGCCGCGCTGACGCGATGACGTCCGGCCCCCCCCGGCCGCCTTTCGCGGCTCCGCTCGGAGGCGTCTCGGAGCGCGCTTTTTTTTTCTTTGAACGGAACGGGGCTTTTACCGTCAAGCGGAGTGACTGGCGTTCCGTACAGTCAGGTGGCGAACGCCCGTCGAGCAGTTTGGGCCCGGCAAAGCTGGCAGGGAAGGTTACGAGCTTGATCCGCCTCGAATTCTCTCTCCCTCTCTCTCTCTCTCGCTCGCTCGTTCTGGGTAATGTCTGAAGCCGGCTTCCTAAAGCGAGTTCAGTATTCAAATAAACATCGAAACCTCCTCCCCTTTCCACAAACACACACACACACCTTTTTTGGTAAATGCGGTTTCATTGCCTAATTGCATCCTTCCTGCTGCCCGGCCATTCAAGGCGGCCAATGGAAATAAATAAAGCCATTCTCATTTAAGAGTGAGATGACGTCTCATTCCTATCCACTGTAGAATCTATGTTTTAATAATCCCCGCGTTTTGCGAGCAGTTTTATCACCTCGTTGAAACGTCCCAAAACCCGTCCACCGGTTTTACTGCATCAGGCGGTGCAAACAGTCACACCACTTTGCCACGTGTATTGTGAAGCGCTTTGAGATGTCTTGACGAAGTGATAAGGCTCTATGTCAAATGCAAGGATTGTTTATTATTTTTATCCTCACATTTGATACAGTGCCTATATACTATACACTCAAATCACTTCACAAAAATTCTGTGAAGTGTAGTGACTGTGCATTTGTAGACAAACACAGCAGCCAATTTGCACACAGTAATGTATTTTTACGGGGAGGGATTGTTGGCCAAGACATGAGGAGAAACTCATTTGTTTGGGGGATTTATGCTGTGGAATTTTTAACATCCTGCCAAACCAGGCGGACAGTATCTCAGTTTAATGTCTCATATAGAGGCCGGGTACCTTTGACAATGCAATGCACCAAGTACAGCATTGGCAGTAGCCTACATTATGACTTCAAAAAAACAATGTGGAGCTTGAATCTTCTGACTCAGCGCTGACTTCTGAGAGTGCTACCATCTAAGTAAGGCAGCTAGACACTGTATATCGGTGGTTGGTTGGAAGGGGAAGAATTTAAGATTAGATTTCAACTGATGGGAGTCACTATCATTGGCGACAGAGGACAGATTCCCATAGGATTTTCCAGACAATGCGATTTACACAGCAGCGCCTTTCCATCCGCAGGGAGTAGGGGGAATGTCTGACAGTGCTGTCTGGGCATCCATAATAACATAAGAATTTGCGAGGCAAAAGAAGACCAATGTCCATCCAGTTCGCCTTCCACCATCCTGACAATCGCGTGACATATCGCTTGTTAGTCGATTGGCGGATCATTGTCCGGGTATAATAATTCTTTCCATAAAAAAATAATAATAATAATAATTTGGTCACTCAATCCACGACTGCCGGGTTTCGCTCACAAAATATGCAGCCAATTCGCTTTACAGTATATCCTCTGAAACGTTTTGAGATGTCTCGAAGATGTGATAAGGCGCTATACCAAATGCAAGGACTATTATTATTATAACATCCCTAAACACTTTACAGTAAATACTGTAATTGTTGTATTTGATTTAGTGCCGATAAAATATGCACAACCATAGCACTTTATTGTTTGATATCCTGTGAAGCACTTTGAGGCATCTCAATAACATGATAAGGCCTATATTAAATGCAAGAATGTATTATTATATGGTGTCAAAGCATCCGAAAACATAACACAATTAAGTGCTGCCAAGCCTAGTATTTGTATTTTTACAGGCAAATGTGACAGCGAATTTGTTGACAGCAATGTCCAATAAACAACCATGAAGTGAATGGTCAATTAATCTGGGGTGCCCAGTGTGAAGTCCCATCACTTTTAGAATAGCATCAAGAGATGGCTTTCACGTGGTCTAAAAACAAGCAGTTTAGTATATTTTCTGAAGGTCAAGACCTTCAACTATGTAGTGCTTCCCCCAGCACTCTGCTGGACTATCAACCTTGACTCTGAGCTCATGTTTCAATTGGAGCCCATAACCTTTTGATCCTGAATCAAGAGGAATACCAACTGAGTCACCAACAACAACAACTTGCATTTATACCACTTTTGGCGGCTAAGCTATCAGCCATTACGTCCTGAACTTTGGAACTCTCAACACCAACAACTTGCATTTATTTTAGTGCCCTTCACCTGGGGCAACGTCTCGGAGTATTAACAGTAGCAGAGCTTGAAGCCGAGCTGGGAGGAGGGAGGAGGTGACCGTAAGCACGGTTGAAGAGGAAGGTCCTCAGTCGTGATCTAAAATAGGGGAGAGGGGCCGACAAGGTGGAGGGATTGGGAGAGAGTTCCAAAGCTTCGGACATAGTGGCTGAAAGCGTGGCCTCCCTCCCTCAATCCCTCTGCCTTGCCCCCTCCTTCCCCATCTTCAGGTCATGCCTGAAGACCTTTGTCTTTGACAGTGCTTACGGTCACTTAGGGTGATGTAAAGCACTCTGGGACACTAACCTGTGAGCGGGGCGCTATATAAATGCAAGTTGTTGTTGCTTATATGGTATCTATCAAGCAAAAGGAGTTTCTCCCCATGACCTAGCAAACAAGCCTCATTCACCTCATGGCTATTTGTGGGACACTGTTGCGCACAAATCAGCTTCTGTGTTCACCCACAAAACACACAGTCATTTCACCTTGCAACATATTCTGTAAATGCCTTACTAATGTCCTCCCAATGCAAGGTGAAAGGCGCTATATCAGATGTAAGAATTATTAACATTATTCACGTAAGATTATGTCTCAGGGCATTTCATCAGATGCTGAACAAGAGAGAAGGGGAAGGGTGAGGGGGGACCATAAATATGGAGGAAGAGGTAATTTTTCAGGCAGGATTTCAAGAGAGGATGAGATGGAAGGGTAGAGGGACAGGGATCCAAAGCTTAGTGGCACAATATTTTCCAGAATGGGTCCAGAAGGAAATGTTTGATGGACTGCACATGCAGTATTGCTGTACACTGATGAATGCAAAGTCCCAGCACTTTGGTTCTCTTCATTAGGAGAGGCAGAAACTTGTAGGATCAACAACAACTTGCAGTTGAAATGGCATCTTGTAGCGTTCAGATCATTGCAGTCCATCAACGGAAACAAAGGTTATTGCAAGGACGGCCTTTCAAATCAAAAAGCAAACAAAGCTTTGCTTTTTGATTTGGTGTTAGCGCAATAATAAAATCCTCACATTTGATATAGCGCCTTTCATTTCAGGAGGACGTCTCAAAGAGCTTCACAAGATTTACTCTAAATTGGAATGACTGTGTATTTTGTACGTGAACTAAAAAATATTTTAATTTAAAAGTAAAACTGTGCTTCCTCTCCTTCTCCCTCTTTCTACTTTCTGCCAATGTCATGGCCACAATTCCCCAGATAAAATTGGTCACTTACTCCGTGGCTGTTTGTTTCTGTACTGTGAGTAAATTGGCTGTTGCATTCGCCTGCCAAATGCAATGTCACTGCAGTAAAATCCTCTGAAGCTCTTTGAAATGCTTCAACATTGTGATGAGGTGCTATATCAAATGCGTGGATTATTACAATTATTGTGTGACACCAGCTCTTTGTATTAAAAAAGTTAATCTTCCTAGTTTCTCCTGGTGACCTGGCTAGCAAATCCCCCAGAAAAAATTGGTCATTCACTTCATGGTTGTTTCTGGGACATTGCTATGCGTAAATTGACTGCTGAGTTTCACCCACAAACCACACAGTCAGTGCAATTTACAGTATATCCTGGTATGCACTTTGGAATGTCCTACTGATCTGAATGGCACTCTATCAAATGCAAGGATTATTATTATCACTATTAATAAAAATGATCACATCACAT